GCTGATTTTTATTTTAAATAATTCAGGTTATATTCATATCTACCTTGTGGATTATGAGCTACATTATATATTTCTAAGCAATTTTAAATTAATGTTGCAAAATAGTTTTCAGTATAGGTCATATACATTTAGTGTCCCTAAACCAGGGGTTTCCTTATCAATTAGACAATTAATAATTGCTCATAATATACAGCCTTTTATTGTCTTTATAACCTCCTATATAATATCTAGTTGCGACCTGTGGGAAAATGTCGTATTGATAATCCTCACCTATCAAGTAGGTAGAAGCAACAGACAGGTTCAGAACCACTATCCTAAACAAAGAAGTCAAGAGAAAGACTTAGAACAACTTTTATTCAAAAGGAAAACATGTAAGGTTGGTCGGATCAACTGGCACCAGTGGTACAAGAAAATTAATGCCCTTCATGATGTGGAATCTTCTACATCACAATAGTCATGTACGTTGAGGAGGTAAAAGTTCTGAAAATCAACAGAAGCAAAGGAAATGAGAAAATATTTTTGCTACCATCTGAAAAGAATATATTCCACACTTGGTTTTTAGTAGCAATGTTGCTGAGAGAGCAAGCTCATTTTAAGATCTTACCAGGGAATCTGGTAACATTAACTATTAAACTTTCTGCATGTGTATATAAATCCCTCTAAATCCGTTCTTAAAGCCTTATATAATGCTTTAAAGACAGGGTCTCACTGTCACTGGGGCTGAAGTGCAGTGACGTGATCTTGGCTCACTGCAGCCTTTACTTCCCAGGTTCAAGCAATCCTTCCACCCCAATCTCTCAAGTAGCTGGGACCACAGGTGTACACCACCACACTCAGATAATTTTTGTATTTTTAGTCGAGATGAGGTCTCACCATGTTGCCCAGGCTGGTCTTGAACTCCTGGGCTCAAGCAATCTGCCCACCTCTGCTTCCCAAAGTGCTGGGACTACAGGCATGCTGGGACTACAGGCGTGAGCTACCATACCCAACTGGTTACACACTTTTCAAAGTGGTTTTACTTAACTTCAGCCATGGATTTAAATAAAACAGAGGATTTAGACCAAGGTTATTTACCTTTTGTTTGTGTGAATCTGTGTATATATATATATATATATATATATGTATATACACACACACGCACATATATATATGTAGATACATGTATACGAGTATATATATATATACACACCCACATAAGATTTATCTAAAAGAAATAAATTTCTATGAATAGGAAAGTTTTTAAAAAGTGATGGAAATATGCCTCTTTGCAATTCTTAGCAGCACCAATAGAGGAATCATAAGCCTATAGACACTTCTTTTGAAAGCTATAGTAGTAAACAAATGTTAATAGCTAAAAATATCTCTTAAGCTGTATTATTTTCATTAAATAAGCAGGTTGTATGTTATACACAGCCCAGTGATAAAGATTACCAAATAAAGCTTGCACACAAATCAGAGACGGAATAAAACAAATTTAAATCAGATTCATTTAAACATTTTTATAAGGAATCAAAGATAATTTCATTTAAGACAGCTTAAACTTTGATTTGCCATGGAATACAGATAACTTCTGCTTTACTCACAAATGAACACTGAAAATATTTGGGTTAAGTATTATGGGGCTCATAAAAGCTCATCTGTTTCAATAATTTAAAGCAAACCATTATACCCAGTGAAAGATGATGTTCCCAAAAGTCCACCAAGCAAAAACATTTGGTTTTAGCTCTCATTTTAGTTATATTTTCCCTGCTATCATGGTCACTAACAGCAGTATACAGAAATAACCCACAACTTGATCAAACTGAGTGTCTCCATGAGTTTTCACACAAAGTAAACTATTAATCTTTTCTACAAGTGCCCAATTTTAAGAAAGGGACTAAGCAAAGTATTGTAGGGAATAAAGTTGAGGAGAACTAAAAGTTTACACATAACCTAAGAAGAGAGAAGGAAAAATGTTTTCAAGCTGTCTGTTCCAGGAACTACCACCTTAAACTGTGTGCCAAAGAATGCTAGCTCTAAGCGCTGCTCCATAAAATGCTCAGAAAATGTTGTTCATAATACATGGAATATTTTTTGAAAAAACTGAGGCATTCTATAATTGCCCCCCTCCAAATATACCTGTAACTTTCAAAAAAATTGTTTAACCCAGTATTTTCAAGATACTTAACTTCATAATCTTTCTTACCCATTAAGAGTTCTGCAAAGTTAGTGTTCCTTATAGCATATTTTGAGAAACTATGTAAATTCTAGGTAATGTGCCACTGATTTAGGATCTATTAAGAAATCATATGATTAAGAGAAATCCAGCAAGGCAACAGGAAGAAAACTGCTTAGGAATGTTTAAAATATTTAAGATAACACACAGAAGATAAACAATGTAACAGGAATAGAACACCTGGTTATCACTGGTGTGGTAAGCATCATCTGCATATACAGTCTATCAAATTGTTTCAGGTTATTTTTTCATCCCTATTGCCAACATTTCACCCATTCCCTTTCAACCATAGAATAATAGTAAGCTTAAATATTTTCCCAAGTTATTTTCCTTGTTATAGTCTATTTTTTCTAATCTAGTGCTTCTGAAACTTAATGTATTGCTCATGAATAAGCAGGGATCTTGTTAAAAATGCAAGCTTTGTGGATGAGGTCTGGAATTTCTCATTTCTAGCAAGCTCCCAGGTAGTACTGATGCAAACACACTTGAGTAACAAAGATTTAATTGATTCTGAAAGCCATGCCTTGCTACTCTCTTAACTCAGTGAATTGTGCGTAAACATCTATATTCAATTACTAATCAAAAACTTCATTTTGGACCTGTCTGGTTTTTCTCCTAACTACTATGCTCATTTCAACACAACCCTGGTTTAAGATAAAATGTATGTACAGTACAGACTTCAAATGTACAATTCAGTTATGATAAATGCATATTCCAAGTAACCCTTACTACCTCCCCTTAAGGTAAAATGCATATACAGTGAAGTACAGATTTTTAATATACAATTCAATGAGTTTTTATAAATTTTTACACCCAAGTAACGACTACACCCCTCCCAAGAAAATACAGAACACTGTCACCACACCAACTCTGTGTTCCGGCCCAGCTCTATAAATGCCCTTTCACTTTTCCACTGCCTATCCACTTATCCTTAAAGACTCAACCGAAGCCCTTCCTTCTTCAAAGCACACCCAAAATTCACTCATGTACCATCTAAATGTATTCGTTATTTTTGAGACAGGGTCTGCCTCCCTCACCCAGTCTGGAGTGCAGTGGTGCAATCATGGCTCACTGCAGCCTCAAACTCCTGGGCTCAAGCAATCCGTCCCACCTCAGCCACCTGACTAGCTAGGACCACAGGCACATGCCACCGTGTCCAGCTAATTTTTTCATTATTATTATTTTAGTAGAGATGGGATCTCTTTGTTACCCAGGTTGGTCTCGAATTCCTGGCCACACACCTCAACATGTTGGGATTACAGGCATGAGCCACTGCACTTGGCCTCTGATCTACCACTTTTTTTTTTTTTTTTTTTTTTTTTTTTTGAGACAGAGTCTTGCTCTGTCACCAGGCTAGAATGCAGTGGTGCAATCTCGGCTCACTGCAACCTCCGCCTCCCAGGTTCAAGCAATTCTCCTGCCTCAGCCTCCCAACTAGCTGGGACTACAGGTGCATACCACCACACCCAGCTAATTTTTGTATTTTTTTGTGGAGAGGGGGTTTCACCATGTTGGCCAGGATGGTTTCAATTTCTTGACCTCATGATCCACCTGCCTTGGCCTCCCAAAGTGCTGGGATTACAGGCGTGAGCCACCGCGCTCAGCCTGATCTACCACTTTTAAGACCCAGCCATCATCATCCCACTGAACAATTACAGTGGGCACCTCACAAGTTTTTCTACCTCTATTCTTGCTCCCCTCCTCAATATATTATCCATAGAGTCGTCCAAGTGACCCTTTAAAAAAGCAGGTCCCTGTCCTGCTTAAAATTCTCCAATGGTTTACCATCACATTTGCAATGAATCCAAATGCCTTTTCTTGTATCACAAAGCCCCTCTTTTTCTGACCTCGTCTCTTGCTACTTTCCCTGTTACTTTCTATGCCCTGGCCAATTGAACCTCCTTCCTGGTCCTACAATACAGCAAGACGTTCCTACTTTAGGGACTCCCCATTAATTACTTTCTCTGCTCTTCCCCGTCACCTTTATATGACAGGCTTTTAGTAATTCAGATCTCCAGTTCAAAGTCACCTCCCACAGAAGCCTCCCTGACAACAAAATCTAAAATAGCTACTTGGTCACTCCCTAACACAAATCCTACTTTAATTCTCCACACATAGAAATACCAATACATAGTTGGTATTTATCTTAATGAGTTTGTTATTTATCTCCTCTCACAATAGCATAAGCGCCATGACTATTAAATTTGTCAACAGCGTTCAATGCTTTAACTTCTGAACCCAGAACTGCATCCATCTCATTACAAGTAAATGCTTAACAAATGTTTTCTTTCTGAGATGGAGTCTCACTCTGTCACCCAGGCTGGAGTGCAGTGGCGCGATCTCGGCTCATGCAACCTCCGCCTCCAGGGTTCTAGCAATTCTCCTGCCTCAGCCTTCCGAGGAGCTGGGACTACAGGGGTGTGCCACTATGCCCATCTAATTTTTTTATTTTTAGTAGGGACGTGGTTTCACCGTGTTGGCCAAACTGATCTCAAACTCCTGACCTCAGGTGATCCACCTACCTCAGCCTCCCAAAGTGCTGGGATTACAGGTGTGAGCCACCACACCCAGCCAATAAATGTTTTCTAAATAAACATGTTAACATATATAATATATATTCATATTATGCAGATGGAATTGTGCCTGATATCCCATACAAAATTTTCTATAAAATCTAAAAAGAAAGCTATTGCTAGTTTTCAAACAAGATAAATTCTTGATAAGAAAGAAAGGGGAGGAAAGCATTGCACCTTTAACTTGGAACAAAAATAACATAAAACACAGGTTAAGTCAAAGTTTAATTCACATAAAGTTTAATCATCGAGTTAATGAAAATATCAAAATTTTTGAGTTAGTGTATGGCAGAGAAAATTTAAATTTTGTTGCAAATAATACAGTATTTGGTATTTCCATTATTGACAAGCTATGCTGCAGAAAGAGCAATCGCGTTAAATCTTAGTTCATCAGGGTCACGCTCCATAAACTTCTTGCAAACTTCTATGGCATCCTATGAAGAAAAAATGCAAAAAAAAGTATGATTTTTCAGTGTATAAGTGTTCTGTTTACAAATGATAAACTTCATATTTTTCTAATTCATACTAATTTTATACTGCAAACTTCCTTTTCCAAAGGAGAATTAAAGAACACCAGAGGAGTGAATAGTTGGGTGCCCTCATTTGCCATGTACAAAAGTATAAGATTTAGTAAGTGTTCTTTTATTTTGAGACAGAGTTTCGCGCTGTCACCCAGGCTGGAGTGCAGTGGTACAGTCTCAACTCACTGCAATCTCTGCTTCCCAGGTTCAAGCAATTCTCCTGTCTCAGCCTCCCTAGTAGCTGGGTCTACAGTCACATGCTACCACACCCGGCTAATTTCAGTATTTTTAGTAGAGACGCAGTTTCACCATATTGGTCAGGCCAGTCTCAAACTCCTGACCTCAGTTGATCCACCCGCCTCAGCCTCCCAAAGTGCTGGGATTACAGGCATGAACCACTGTGCCTGGCTGCAAGTGTTCTTAAAATGCTATTAAGGAACTTTTCACCTAAAAATCACATTTCATTGATTCTAAGCCACACAATTTATTCATGTTTTAAAATCTCTAAAATCAGGATCAAGATACAATTAATGGTATCCTGGATTTGATGAAATCTGGGATATAATGAGTAAGTCTTTCAATACTATTCCTGTCTTTTCAAATTTGACAGCTGTTCATAGAAAGAGCTCTGAAAACCTCTTTGTTGTAGATTTTTAACACTAACTTAAACTTTCTTTCTGAATTTTCTAGAGAGAACAAGGATAAAGAAGTATCTAAATATGGAGAAAATGTTATACAAGTGACCTTTAGAGATGTTTTAAAGATGACAAAATATTAGTAGCACTTAAGATGGGCCAACAAGTTTTATTGTTACCTCTAATAAAGTTTCATCACTAGTTTCACCATGGTTAATTGGAAATGGTTTCCGCCCATCTGTGGAAAACAGACAAACAATTAAATGCTCAGCTGTTTTTACAGGATAATGTATTTTCAACTTCCATTTTCCAATTCCCACAGTGAGGCAAGAAAAGTTAAAAGTCATTTTAAATAACATATCCTAAAACAAATGTTTTGATATGCTAACCATGAATATTTTTCATGAAAGGTTATTAGTTAGACCTTTGCTTCCATGTTTGAAAGCCTAAATTATCTTCATGAACAGAATTTATTACGATGCTGGCTTTCATTTCCTGAAAATAATATGCAAAATTATTGTTAGTTTTTAAAAAACTATGACCCAAGCTTTTATCTTTAGAAATTTAAAACATTTCTTTTCTCACTTTAAATAGGAAGATCTCAAGTAAGACAGACATGTTAAAAACAATGAAAGGGAACCACACTATCACGGCTTATACAACTCTACCACTAATTGTGTACCACCAATGCAGTGATATAGCGGAATAATCCAAATAGCCCCGAGTTATTTTACTGATCACCGAAATAACCAAGTTCACAATCAACTTAAATCAATTTAAATAAACTAGTACTTTTTGAATATTATAAAAAAAGGAAAATTCCAGAATTATTTAAACTCATGCTAACCCAGAGTCAACTGATAATTATGTATCCAAACCTGTAATTTCAGATGTCTTGTAAGCGGCTCCTCATTGAGTTCAACCCACAAAACACAGCCCCTTCTACAATTCCATGGTTTCTAACCATAATAAAAATTTCTGAATATGCATATAGTAATAGACTTTGTTAGACACTTTTTAGAAAATGAATGAAAATTAACACATAAATACATCTCCATATAAAGTAATATTAATTTCTATAAATTATATCATCAGAATTTGTGATTCCTATTTTTGGACTAACATTGAGATAAATATTAAAAATCCTAAAGAAACTTTTCCCTAAATTGCAATGCCTGGGACGTAATTCCTAAAATTTCTAAGAACCTTTAGGAAACATTTTCCTATAATTATATTACACATGAACACTTAATTATCTCTATTTCTATGAACTTATACTATCTTTCTAAATTGTACATTTCTCAATAATATAAAACATATTCTAATATATCCTTTTGTGACAAATGCTTATTCTTCAATAGACTGTTTATATTTATTTGACTATCATATTAATTATGTGCCACCCCATTTTTGGATTTTTTTAAATCTTTACATAAAAGCAAAAGTATAAATAAACAATGTAGGTTGTTCCCCGCCTATCCAAATTATAAATTGATATACATTTTTTCCTTTTGTATTTTTCTTTCTTTTTAATTTAGAGATAAGGTCTCACTTATATTGCCCAGGCTCAACTTGACCTCCTGGGCTCAAGCAATCCTGCTCTGCTTCCCAAGTAGCTGGTACTGCAGGCACATACAATAGCGCCCAGCTTAATATATGTATTTTCCTGGTTTCCATCAACTTTTTGTGTGTCATTTATGAGACTAAAGAGCTAATAAACTCAGTTATGGCTAGGTGTGGTGGTTTATGCCTGTAATTTAAGAAGATTATTTGAAGCCAGGAGTTCAACACCAGCCTGGGCAACGCAGTCTAATAAATTAGCCAGGTATAAAGGCACAAGTCTATAGTCCCAGCTACTTGGGAGGCTGAGGCAGGAGGATCACTTGAACCCAGGAGTTCAAGGATGCAGTGAGCTATGATCGTTGCACTGCACTCCAGCCGGGGCAACAGAGTGAGATTCTATCTCTAAAATAATAAAATAAATAAATACAAATAAAAAATAAATGGCAGTGAGCAATTCTCCTTCAAATGCAGCTATTTAAAGTAACATATAATTAATTTCAATTATGATAGACTAAGATTGTTAAACAATTGATCCTGAAACGTCAGAACTGTGTAGTTTCTTTTTAGAATAGCAGCATAGAACAAATATTTATTATGATTTTTACTTTTATTCTAATCCTGAGGTTGGCTAACTTCAGGCCATCGGCCAAATCCAGCCCTCACTGTATTTTTAATGCCTCCTTTAAGCTAAGACTGGTTTTTATGTTTTTAAAAGACAGTATGCTGCCCACAAAACCTAAAATATTTACCACTTGGTAAATATTTCACAGAAAAATTTTGCCAAAACAATAAAATCTAAAATTTGCTGTTGTTCCAAACACCACTACCACAAAACTGTCATTTGCCAACAACTTTGGGTGTAATTTAAGTAAATGTTTACCCTGCAGAAGAATCCATGAGGCTCCGAGACTGTCACACTTACAGGCCCCTTCTAAAAGAGGCAGGAAAAAGCTGTAATTTGTGCATAGGTCATGTAACCTAAAAATCTCAGTCCAAATGGGCTGTGCTGCTTACAGGCTGGACAGGGAAGACAACAGTGGCCTGACTTTTTGGTAGTAACTAAGCAATTCATTCAGAACTTGTTTTTTGCATAGTTTGAGCACAAGACCTCAGAGAAAGGTGACAGCAGAGTTGGACAAGAGACAAGTGACATGACAAACACCACGAGATGCTTTTTGTTGCAGATAACCAAGTATCAGCTACCATCAAATACCCAAGGACAGCCAATAATATGAATGATAGAGCTTAAAAAGCAGAGACTACACAGAAATAAAAACTTTTTAAAAACATACAGGCTTAAAAAACAGAGATTATACAGAAATAAAAACTTTAAAAAAGTGTGCAGGCAGGCCTGAGAGATATTGTGGGTTAGCTTCCAGAATGCCACAATAAAGCAAATATTACAGTAAAAGGAGTCACAAATTTTGTTTCCTAGTGCATATAAAAGTTACGTTTATATTACTCTGTAGCCTATTAGGTGTACATCAGCATTATGTTTAAGAAAACGATGTACATACCTTAATTAAAAAACACTTTATTCCAAAAAATGCTAATGATTATCGCAGCCTTCAGCAAGTTGTCATCTTTTTGCTGATGGAGGGGCTTGCTTTGATGTTGACGTCTCCTGACTGAACAGGATGGTGGTTCCTGAAGGTTGGGGTGGCTGTGGAAGTTTCCTAAAATAAGACAATAATGAAGTTTGCCACACTTGACTCTTTCATGAAAGATTTCTCTGTAGCACGTGATGCTGTTTCACAGCATTTTACCCACAGCAGAACTTCTTTCAAAAATGTTGTCAATCCTCTCAAATTCTGCTGCTTATCAATTACATTTATGTCATCTTCTAAATCCTTTGTGGTTTGTGGTCACTTTAACACTGTTCATGACTTCTTTATTAGGAGTAGATCCCATCTCAAGAAATCAGTTTCTTTGCTCTTCTATAAGAAGCAACTTCTTACTTGTTCAAGTTTGAGCCTGAGATTGCAGCAGTTCTGTCCCATCTTCAGACTCCCCTTCAAATTCTAGTTTCATTGCTGTTTTCACCATATCTGCAGTTAGTTCCTCCAAAGAAGTCTTAAACCCCTCAAAGTCATCCATGAGGAGAGAACCAACTTCTTCCAAACTCCCGTTAATGTTGATATTGTGAGCTCTTCCCATAAATCATGAATGTTCTTAATGGCATCTAGAATGGTGAATCCTTTCCAGAAAGTTTTCAATTTACTATTCTCAGATCCATCAGAGGAATCACTATGGCAGCTACAGAATCGCAAACTGTATTTCTTAAATAACTAGAAATGAAAGTCTAAATGATTCCTTGATCCATGGGCTGCAGAATGGATGCTGTGTTAGCAGAAATGAAAATATTAATCTCCTTGTACATATATCTACCTGAGACCTCTTGGATGACCAGGTGCAGTGTCAATTAGCAGTAATATTTTCAAAGAAATCGTTTTCTGAGCAGTAGGTCTCAACAGTGGGCTTAAGATATTCAGTAAGCCATGCTATGAACAGATATGTTACTATCCAGGCTCTGTTGTTCCATTTATAGAGCACAGGCAGAGAAGATACAGCATCATTCTTAAAGACCCTAAAATTTTCTGAATATCAAATGAGTGCTGGCTTCAACTGAAAGTCATTGTCTGCATTAACAAAAGAATCAGCCTGTCCTTTGAAGCGCTGAAGGCAGGCACTGACATCTCCTCTCTAGCTATGGAAGTCCTAGATGGCATCTTAATTCCCAAGAGAAGGCTATTTCATCTACATGGAAAATCTGTTGTTTACATAGCCACCTTCATGGGAAATCTGAGCAAGATATTCTGGGTAACTTGCAGTTTCTCCATCAGCATGTGCTGATTCACCAGGCACTTTTATGTTATGGAGATGACTTCTTTCCTTAAAAAGCATGAACCAATTCTAGCTTCAGACTTTTCTTCTGTAGCTTCCTCACCTCTCTCCGCCTTCAAAGAACTGAAAAGAGTTAGGGCCTTGCTCCAGATTAGGCTTAAGAAAATGTTGTAGCTAGTTTGATCTTCTATCCAGACCACTCAAACTTTCTCCATATCAGCAATAATGCTGTTTTGCTTTCTTGACCTTCATGTGTTCACTGGAGCAGCACTTTTAATTTCCTTCAAGAACTTTTCCTTTGCATTCACAACTTGGCTTACTGTTTCACACAAGAGGCCTAGCTATCAGACCCTCCTGGCTTTCAACATGCCTTCCTCACTAAGCTTAATCATTTCTAGTTTTTGACTTAAAGTGAGAGACATGTGACTTGAATGCTTAGAGGCCTCTGTAGAGTTTTAATTGGCCTCATTTCAATATTATTGTGTCTCAGGGAATAGGGAAGTCCAAAGAAAGGAAAATGGCTGCTTAATGGAGCAGTCAGAACATACACAATAAATCAATTAAGTTTGCCATTTGTATATGGGTATAGCTTGTGACACCCCCAAACGATTACAACATCAAAGATCACTGTTCACAGATACCATAACAGATACAATAATAAAAACATCTGAAATGTTGGGAGAATTACCAAAGTGTGACACAGAAATGCAAAGTGAGCACATGCTGTCGGAAAACGGTGCCAATAAGCTTGCTCACAGCAAGATTGCCATAAACCTTCAATTTGTAAAAAAAAAAAAAAAAAATGGAATATACTTAAAGTACAATCAAATG